AGCTAAAGAGAAGTCCGGGAAATTGTCGAACAAAGTACAAATTGGCAGGTGGCGTGACAGCTTTGGCTCAGCTCCGTGTTTTGTACTCTGGTAGAGCGCGCTCTTTCAACCGATGACAGCCCATTTTACATCCGAATTGTACTACAATAAATGTTGACTGTAAGCACACGACCAATCAGAGTTTTCAAAGTGAGTCAATGTGTCATCATAAACGATATCAGTGTCTGATTTTGTGTACAAACGGATTATTTGTGGAGATTACGGCTTTATTGACAATTGCACGTACAACGTAAGTTAAGTAGTGTAACTTTTATGGCACATTATCAACAGGACAATCGGCAAGCTAGCTCACTAAGGTCTAAGAAGCTGTTTCAAACTAATGCTAACTAATGCCCTCCACTTTAAGTTGTAACAATTCCTAGGATAAAATTTGCTCACTAAATGAGGCAATGTTTACGACAAAGTTTGCTCTGTTGCTATTTAATGATAAGGTAATGCAAATTAATGAATAACCTGTTACTTCAAGCAAATCGTAGCTATTTCGTACTTCTCTCCCATATTTTACGCCCCCATAACTCGGCGAATTACTCCAAACAGCAAAAGAACTTGGATTTAAGTGTGAAAAATTATCTGAACCCTTTCAAATGCAGAATTACTTACAGCAATTCTAGATTGGCAAGAGAGTCAAATATTCTTGGTTGCAATGTAACCAGTCTATTACCATCCAAGTCACTGAAACAGGAAGGGAATAATCAAATTATTAAAGTCGCATTCAGTATGACATGCCTTTTTAGAGGTATATCAAAATCCCAAAGAGCTCCACTATGTGGGCTGGATAAGCAAAGTGTTTATCGTCTCCTGTTATCGTCTATAGGTGAAATTAAAATAAAAGAGTGCAAGAAAGCTCCCCAAGCCCGTCTACAGCTACCATGTATTTTTTCTAATCATTCACTCATCATTTCCTGTGGATTACTATTGAACAAGAAAAATCTTCCTGAGGCAAATTTTACCTAACTTTGTAATGTTATGGCTAATTCACAGCTCTTTGCTTTTGCGACTTAAAAGTCGTATTTACCAACGATCTATTGCCCTATTACGAACTTGTGTCATATTTTGTTTTGAAAACTACTAGGCTATTTCTCATAATTAAGGCAACGGGACGAGAAAAATGCGTTGCTCGGGACAGCCGAGTTAGCGCGGTTCTCAAAAATCAAAAATTCTGACAGATATCGTCCTCCCCCCTTATTCAAAGGGCTGATAACGCTATCCAACGTATAAATCGTTATCGGGTGGATAAGTGATGAAAAAACGTACTGCATTATCCAACGGTCAAAGATCTATCCATTAAAGCAGATTTTAGATGAAGAGATCGATGTAAATTATGGATTGAAAGATAGATAGATTGATATAGATAGATAGATAGATAGATAGATAGATAGATAGATAGATAGATAGATAGATAGATAGATAGATAGATAGATATGATCGTTTCCCTCAGTTACCGGAGGAGCCGTGTTCAGAATCGAGCAATTCCCAAGAAGCAAAATACTGACTTTTTCAGTCGCAATTAGTATTTGCATTAAATAGAGTGGAAGCCTTCTTTAAGGAGTTGGATCAAGGAAATAATTTCTGTAAACTTGTAGTCTCTTTCATTAAATTTTCTCTGCTGTTTGAAACATGTTATTCTTTCATTTTCTGGGTGAGTCATAAACTACATTTGTTCGCTCTAGAGAAACTTTTTACCTCTCTCGAAACATTAAATTAGAGTCTCCTAAAGTAATTACAAAGTAAAGACCACTTTTTAGTGCACTCTGAGTTGCTTTGATCTGCCCGAGGCATTTTGAGTCTGGCCTTTTTCTTAATAGAGTCTACTGTACTGCCTTCCTGAAATTTGTAATTGAGCTCTCTCAGGACTGCCGTCCACTGAATAAATCCGTATATCTCTCTACCTTGCTTTAAGAAATCGTCCTCGTTGCCCGTTAATTTCAAGATTGGGCACCTAATGTGGGCCAATTTCTTCGGGATACGGGCCATTTGATTCTGTACTTTCAGGCGGCAATGTCGGTCCCAAGGATGAGCCGCTAAACCTCGAGTTCTCCTCTTTATCCAGCTCCGAACCTTTGGCTCCTTGAAGCTTCTGTAGACACTCGTGAGCCCTCCTGGCAACTTCGCGCGATCTTTGCTTTCAAAGTGAACTTCGGCGACGGTGGAACTGTGTTTTGGGTCATTCGACGAAATTCCTTGCTCTCAGCTTGTATAGCGATTCGAGTTAACGTTTTATCTGATCGCGCCGAAAAATAATTTGCTCATAACGTCGCCCAGTTTATTGTGATGGCCTCCATTCTTAGTGACCAAAACGAAGTTGCACTGGGATGTTAACAAGGGCCGCACAAAGTTTAGGTAGTAATCAGGAACCTGCATGCTTATATCTGTAAGGACAAGCGAGTCGAATAGTACTTGCTGGCGGTCTTGAAAATTTCTGATCGATGAAACCCCCATTGTCCTTCGGTGTCTTTATCATATTCACCGTTAATGAGAGATGGGATGCGATTGTTTTGAGCTTCCAAGTGAGGACTTTTGGTTTGGGGCAATGCGCCATCAATGTTAGACCACTCGATCTCATTTGCCAAGCACATGTTAGTCTCTCCTTCTTTGCAGACCTTTTCTGATCTTTTAAAGGGAGCCAATTGATAAGTAGAAAGCAGGACAATAAACAGTCCGGGGCATAAACACTTTTGTTTCTACCACGACATCATGTAACATGGCGTCACAATCCAATTTTTCAAAACCTTGACTAGCTACGTACGATTTGTTTTTGGAAAAAAAAAAGAAATATACTACGATAAATCTCGATTTATGTGCTTCTCATCTATAAAAACACAGGGCGAGAGCACGTTGGTTTAGTCCGAGTGCACGGCCGCAGCCGTCATGGTGTTATGGCTTCTGCCAGCTGTCGATTTTCTCAGTATTCCTAAAGACTCCTTTCTGTTTTCATTTCAGTTCAGGGATGATCATATCTACTTCTTGAGAAAAGCCTATCGACTTTGGGATAAAGGACTGTAGAGTAAGACAGTTTGACAAAAGCTTGTGCAAAAATGAGCTTTCGGTTTAATTCAAAATAGTAACGACCAGGACTCTGAGGAAATTCATCCCAAATGGGTCTGCTCAGCATGCAAACGAATAATTTATCAAGTCCGGAAAAACTCAGATCAACCAAATATATTTCGACCTCAACGATTTTTTTTGTGGACATCTCATCGTGAGTAAAACTGCCCTTGTGTGAAAAAACCCAGAGGGCGCCCTTCAAAATCAAGCAATAAAACAACCGGTGGTAAAAGCTGGTTAAAGTGTTTTGCCTAAAATTCATGCAGAGCCACATCTAATACGCAATATTTCCTTTAACATTCATATGGAAATTTCAGACGAGATTCTCCATCGGAGCTAATTTTCCTCAAATGACGAAAAAGAACACATTCTTGGAAACACTTGTTCCTAACATATTCAGAAAGGAACCAAGTGTTCCACTTATAGGAACAAAGACAACGGATAAATGTTCCTCGAATACGTAAAAAGGAACTCTTATTAAGGACCCCAGACCCGCCAAAATGGTGCTTAGTTTGTTGTTGTGAAGAGACCTGTGATTTGAAAGGTTGTCAGACTTCTTTTCAAAAACTCATACAGCCATCTTTGTTGTCTGTTATGAAGCAACGTCAAAAAACCTAGCTTTTCATTGTTATGTTCAACGCAATTGGAGTTTGAAGACTCAACGACTGAGTAGCGTTACAGATGAGTAGCATTATAAACGCAGCTTATTGGCAGCGACTGTTCTCTATGCTGTCATCAAATTTGATCAAAATGTTAAGGGTGAAGAGAAACATCTTGATAAAGATAAAGTTATGGTCTTTTGTTCTCAAAACTTTGAAATATATATCGATATATCGATATTTCAGGCTCATTCTAAATTTCCGTCACGGGTTTAAGTTATCGAAAGACGACAGTATTAAGAGCGCTTGTCGGTAAAAATCAGACATATCGCGGCAAGGGTGGAAAATTCGATTTCTTTCCTATTTTAATGTTAGATAGGCTAGGTTATAACTAAAATCACTGGATACTTTTTGTGGCAAAATATCTTTTTATTTCAGAGAAAAATACAAGTAACGAAATTCCGTTAAAATCGTCATTTTTAGCAGCAAATTATAGCACGAGTTTGAGGGTTTCGCTTGCAAAAACGAATCACTATCTTGTCTTTTAGGCCTAGTTTATACGTCGCGCCGCAGTCGAATTTAATTCAGACGAATTTAATTCCATTAAATTCGTCGTTCCGTCGACATAAATCGTGGCGTGGTTTTATGCGTCGAAATCAATACGGTCGAATTTAATTCTCTTCCCAAATGCAGTGTCTCTGGTCAGAGGTGTCATTTTGAAACAAACATGGCGCGGGCTAAAGCTCTGAAAACAATTTTGCTCGAGAAAATTTCCAGGGAAAGACAACGGCGACGTCAACTACGGCGTAATATGGTTACATTGGTGTTAATGAGGAAAAGGTTTATCGTACAACTTTGTTTGCTGACGTGTCTCCTGTTACAGTCAAGTGAAGATGAAATTAGCGCTCGAAGACCTCGCAGTTGTCGTCGCAGTCATAAAAACACAGGTTGGTGGGAATTGATCTGGGCGTCCTATGATGAAGGAAGATTTAAGAAAACCTTTCGTGTATCAAGGAATACGTTTAACTTAATTTTGAAGAGTCTTCGACCTGTTATTGAGAAAGATTTTGTCACAGAGCAGCCCGTTTCTGCCGAATGTAGGCTGGCTATATGTCTTTACAGATTAGGTAGAGGTGACTACCTATACACCATTGCGGAACTGTTTGGCCTTAGTGTGACGACCGTTCACAAAATCCTAGAGGAAGTATATGAAGGATCATAAGAAACCTGTGGAAACCTTCGGTGCAAGCGCATTTTCCAATCACCAAACAGAATATTATGGAGAAAATGGTGGATATGACAGCGTTTTGGCAATTCCCCTGCTGCTGGGGTGCTGTAGATGGGTGCCACATCCCCATTCAGTGCCCTCCTGGCGGTCTGAGGGCCAGTAAAGAGTATCATAACTTTAAGAACTTTTATTCAAAAGTATTGATGGCCATTGTAGATGCACAAGATCCTTTCATCTGGGCTAGTGTTGGTTTTCCAGGAAATTCACACGATTCCATCATTTTCCAGTCCACTGATTTGTGGCACAACATTACTGAAAACAACATCATACCATCAATTTCTCAAGTCATTGAAGGTACCGAGGTTTACCCGATGATTTTGGGCGATTCTGCTTTCCCATTCAGAGTGTGGTTAATGAAACCATATGGTAATGCTAACCTTACACCTGAAGAGGGCTATTTTAACTATCGTCTAAGCCGCGCAAGAATGGTAACTGAGCGAGCCTATGGACAACTGAAGAGCAGGTGGAGAGTTTTGTATCGAAAGCTAGAATGTAGACCAGATTCGTTGAAACTGGCCGCGCTCGCGTGTATTGTACTTCACAACATCTGCATTACCACAAAGGACAGCCTTCCTGCCCAACTGGATTTGTCAATTGATCCTTTCGCACAAAAGAAAAGGTCCAGAGAAGAAATACGAGATCTGTTGCAGATGCGCAACTGCCCTAACAGAAAGGATTCATCTCGCAAAGCTGGAGCAATAAGGGAGGCTTTGACCAGGAAAATGTGGCAGGAAAAAGAAGCAAACGAACTGGAAATGTAGACGTGATTAAAACAATTTTTTTGTCATCCATGTTATTTTCAAAGTTCTCCATAGATTGTAACAAATAAATCACTTCACATTTCAGGTAAACTTCATAAAAGCAACAGAGTGTTGTTCCATAAAATATTCAACGCCCCTGTGAAGTTTTTTGTTAGACCTCAAACTCCCGCTAACTCCAGCAACCGTCTTAACTTTAGAGCGTACTTCAAGAACCTACTACTTGCCTTCACCCTGGAACGCGAGTTCTACGCTCTTAATCCACAGGGGTAGAAATGAATATTTTGTGGAACTGTCTCAATTTCAACTTATAGTTGGCTATCAGCTCATTCAATCAATTATGACAGTAACGGTACAAAACTTACTGGTCGGACATGATCACCACCTCGTTGATATTTGCTTTAAAATGTGTTCTCAAAGTGCCTTTAACACCCCCACCCCCCCCCTCCCCACCAACTGTTTTCCCCAATTTTTCCCTCAAATAAATATTTGTATTTTTCTCTCAAATATATATTTGTATTTTTCTGAGCAAAACTCCACTGTTTTGTCTTAATTTGCTTAAGACCTGGATTTTTATGGATAACAACAACGACCAACTTGGACCACAAGAAGCATGGCTCCATTCCTGTTTGACATCACAGACTGCTTTCAAAGAATTTTTGCACTGCAAAGCAGTTTGTGATGTCATGAACAAGGAATAGATCCATGCCCCTCACAGCTTGCTTGTGTTTGAGATAAAAACAGACTTAATTTGCAAATTATTTTAAAAAAAAACCAATATTTAAACAAAATGCTACACTTCTTGAACCATCATATCAGTGCAATATTGAGATTTCTGCTGGTGGAAAAAGATTATTTGAGTTATAGGCACTTCAAGACCATAGTGTAGAAGGCTCTTTTCAAAGCAGTTCCAAAATAACTTTAAAATATTAGAGTGCATGCCAAGACCCTTTCAAAATTGGTACAACTGTGAAACACCAGATTGTCCTTGTGAAGTCATAGTTGACTGAACGTGATGTAAGAGAGACTGCTCATCATTTTTTGGAGCAGATGACATCAATGGTGTGTACCCAAAGGATGGGGTACTTGGGTGACTGCTGCTAGCTCTGGGATTGGACACAGATTGTTGTGAAAAATTATGGCTTTGATGATGAAAATCATCAGAATAAGAACTGCTATAAGGATGGAAATTACCATGGGGTTGCATGTTTGGATTGCTGTTGGGTGTTAGTAGGCCACACATCAACTGGAAGTACCTCATTTCCTGTTCTCTAGACTGCTTCATATCTTCCCTTAAAATTTGCAAAAGTTCTTTGGTGGGATCATTCTCAATAGTACTTTGAAGTAGTTCAACAGCTTTTGCCATCTGCTCAGTTTTAGCTCTTTTAGAGGCAGGTTTCTTTGGCAAGAAACGTTTACCCTTGGATGAGACTTCTCCACTGCTATCCATAAGGCTGGATGAAGTGCTTGCACAGTCATCATCATCACCATCAACTTCTTGATCATTCTTGCTGGTATCTTGCTTGTCTACATTTCCAATATGTACAGATGGTCCACATGCATTTTCTCGTTGACATGAATCTCTAGTTTTAACAAGTACATAAAGAAGGTCAAACCATTTACCATATCCCCGTTCTTCAATAAACCTTTCAATACCTGAAGCAGTTTTCATTGTCATGCAGATCTGCTTACACGTACTAATGCATGACTTAAATTTATTTCTCATTTGTTGCACTTGGAAAGGAAAATC